GTGATATATGCTGATCTCTGTTTGAGGGGTGCACTTGATGTCGCGAACTTGCCTCTGATAGAACAGAGAGAGAGTGGGGGGGGGGGGGGTCTGTTTGAAGGTGGGGGGGGGGGGGGGGGCGGGGGGGACGGGACGACCTGGCCAGAAGCTGAAGTGGGAATGAACCAGAGTCTGAGTGAGGGGCGCATCAGAGAACAAGTGCGAGAAAGGGGCGTTGCTGCTATGCGTAGGCTCTAACACGGGTATAGATTGCCAGTGTCAATATTGACACAATATCTACACACACACGGGCGAGTGTACGCTAGGGACCCTCGGACCAAACACTACCGCCCCCAACCCCACCCCACCCCATAAATCTGTTACCCCTTCTCTCTCACTACGCCCCACTTCCGTTGGCATCGCTCTTGTGTTTGGTGATATTTTTTTTTATGTATTCGATATTCGTTACACGATCGGTCCAACCAAATCAATACTGTAATCTTATAATCGACGTGAAATTACGTTAAAGAAATCGATACCGACGAACTGAATGAAAAGCTGGACGTTGTTCTAAAACAAGGCAGAAAGTTTTCGCTAATATTTAAATATCATTTCATTATAATCAGAGCGTTAAACGATTTCAGTAAGCCATAAGTAACATATGGAAGAATGGAATGTGTGATAGTTAAAACTGTGACATAGAGCTAATCGACATTAAAGTAAAGAACCCTATCTAGACTAAGGGATCCATTGGGCAGATGTTTCTTGACCTAGGCATATGAAGGGAAGGTATGCTTAGCACTTTGCATGTTGCACAGCCGCCTTTACTTTCCCTAACATGAGTCTGGTACCCATCAGAACTGGGTGGACTCATGGTGGAATCAATCGTGGACTTCGACCACGATTGATTCGAACTCGAGTTTTTCTGGATAGGAGCCTAGCGATCTATCTCTTAGACCACGATGTCGATCGTAGGTGGGCTGCGTTTCATATGTGAGCTATTGTTACTCCTTCCATTTCGCCACTCTATGAATAATGTTACCAGTGTAAATTCTTACTATTGTAGGAACAGCGCCTTCATAACATGTCCAATACATGACACATCCAACACCTTCACATGTTATGTACAATCACATATCCAATATATTCGCAACATCCAACTTAATCCTCTTCACATTCACACCACTTTACAATACACGTTACAAATACAATGCTCTTGCCCCACTCCACATTCACACCACTTTACAATACACGTTACAAATACAATGCTCTTGCCCCACTCCACATTCACACCACTTTACAATACACGTCACTAATGCAATGCTCTTGCCCCACTTCACATTCACACCACTTTACAATACACGTTACAAATACAATGCTCTTGCCCCACTCCACATTCACACCACTTTACAATACACGTCACTAATGCAATGCTCTTGCCCCACTCCACATTTACACCACTTTACAATACACGTCACTAATGCAATGCTCTTGCCCCACTCCACATTCACACCACTTTACAATACACGTCACTAATGCAATGCTCTTGCCCCACTCCACATTCACACCACTTTACAATACACGTCACTAATGCAATGCTCTTGCCCCACTCCACATTCACACCACTTAACAATACACGTCACAAATACAATGCTCTTGCCCCACTCCACACTCACACCACTTTACAATACACGTTACAAATACAATGCTCTTGCCCCACTCCACATTCACACCACTTTACAATACACGTTACAAATACAATGCTCTTGCCCCACTCCACATTCACACCACTTTACAATACACGTTACAAATACACTGCTCTTATCCCTCTTCACACCAACCAACTCAATAGAATTCCACATCCTCTGTTCATTAAATATCTTTCATGTCTTCTAAACGATCATTTGATTTATTTACATGAAAGAAGCCGGCTCTAATGTTGTGAGTTAAAGTTTAAACAACGTTTACACTACACATCAATTGCAAGAAAACTGTCTTTAGCGTTACCAAAGCTTAAATTAGTCTAAGTGAGCATTCAGCCAAACACTATATTTTAGCTATTTAGTGTTATAAATAGCTAATTCAATAGCTTAAATTTATATTTCAACAAGACAATTCTGTTTACATTGTTAACAAACTAAAAATTCGTTTGATTTTTATCTAGAACGGCGCCGACCAAATGTTCATTTATTGTTCCCCTGCCGAGTGTGTTATCATGTTTTTAAATGGCTCCAATTTTTTAGCGCAATTTCCATTCTGGAGAATTGCGTTTATTAACTCGTCATTTCTGGGAATGGATGGATGGATGAATGTGTGTCCGGGCTTTAAGTCGTATCTCCTCCTTAACGAAGCAATATCGATGACTAGTTCCAAAAGCAATTATGTTAAGTAAGTTAGGAGAATGAGCATAGGCCATAAAAATTCCGGGTTTCTTTCATGTATTTCCCGGAAAAGCCAAAAAACCTCGAAAAAATTCAGTTTTTGGCCCATATCTCGGCAACCAGACCACTTAGCGACTTGAAACATGTACCAATCGATTCCTGCCATAATTTAGAACAATATTGCCGAAGAAAGTTTTCAAAAATATCCTCTCGTTCGGTCACAAATTCTAAAATTACATAAACACCTACAAACCAATCTTTCTTCTAGCTTGAACGCACCCCATCATTATACGTCAGAGCTATTTTTAGATAACATAAGGAAATTGCGCATAAATGTCACTAGACTTTTTTAATTAACTTGTTTTTCTTTCTTGTTGGTTTTGTTGACGTATTAACGATCCACCCAACTGGAACACCATGGGAATCAATAAATACGCGTATCAATAATGTATCAATTTAAAACTGATGTGGAGATTATCCGGCATATGATTTAGGAGCAGTGGCGAGGCAGGGTATCTCGTTATTAGCGCCTTGTATTTAAAGTCTGCATATGGTTAGCGCACACTCCCATACACACATATATGTATTTGTATATATATATATATATATATATATATATATATATATATATATATATATATATATATATATATATATATATATATATATATATATATATATATATATATATATATATATATATATATATATAAAATTATATATATATATATATATATATATATATATATATATATATATATATATATATATATATATATGCTTGTGTGTGTGTGTATGAACAGATTGCCAGAAACCAGATTATAATATCATAATTTTTTCCTAGGTATAGAGTCTAATCTGATTAAAGTTAGTCTTGTTATAAACCACAAAAGTATTGTGCATGTTAAGAAATAGTCACTTTTGAGTTAGGCGTGGCCTAAGCGGTAGAGCGTTAGGCTGCTAACACGAAAGTCTAAGGATTGAATCCGGGTCCAAAATCAGTAGTAGAGCGTCCCTGAGTTCACCCAGCTCTAATGGGTACCTAACTTATGTTAGGGAATGTAAAGGCTACTGGGCAAAGTGCTGACAACAGTTTCCTTTCAAATTCCTAGGTCAAGAAACATGAACTCTACTTTATCTGCCCAATGGATCGCTAGCTCTAAAGAGGATTCTTAACTATACATTACTTATGAGTTGACATTAATCATTACAACAAATAACTGATATTGTCAAAATGTTATCATTCAATTTAGTTAAGTTCATAATACTACATCAACACAACATTCATACAAAAAAATTAAGCACGAAGATTTATGTTTTAGTTAAGTTCATAATACTACATCAACACAACATTCATACACAAAATTAAGCACGAAGATTTATGTTTTAGTTAAGTTCACAATACTACATCAACACAACATTCATACAAAAAATTAAGCACGAAGATTTATGTTTTAGTTAAGTTCATGTTCGGCTTGACAATCAACAGCAAATCTATATTTAACTATTGACAAACAAAGTTAACCTCTCGTATATTGATTGCAAATATTGACTAATCCGACGCCGGTTGTTTGAATAGCTTGAAGTTAGTGAAGAATGATGGGGTATATGGTCGTGATGTTGACATATAAAAACTGGGGACGGTTGAGGTTACATATTGAATGCTGAGGGGTGCCGTTCTCGGGCGCATTATACCCCACCATACCCCACACACACACCCCACCCCCACACACAAACACACACCTCTCCCTCTCCCAGACCAAACTAGAGCTTTATATCCCCACGCCCCCTCCCACACACACAAACACACACCCCTACCTCTCCCAGACCAAACTGGTCGTTATAACCCCCACCCCACCCCTACCCCCACCCCCACCTACAAACACTAACACACACCTCACCCTCTCCCAGACCAAACTGGTCGTTATACCCCCACCCCACACCTACCCGCACCCCCACCCCCACTCATACAAACACACACCTCTCCCACTCCCAGATCAAACTAGAGCGTTATATCCCCCACGCCCCCTCCCCCACACACAAACACACACTTCTCCCCCTCCTAGAACAAACTGGAGCGTTATACCCCCCCACGCCCCACCCCACACACACAAACACACACCTCTCCCTCTCTAGACCAAATGGGTTGTCAAACTGTGTGAAGGTTCTCGGTTATTTTCTTGTCGTTGATCGATGTTGCATCCAGTAATTGATTGATTTTGTTTTTTACATCCCGTTTATGGATTATATATCTCGTACATAGATAAATGTTATATCCTGGTTTACAGATGGATAATAAACGCACAATAGATGGATGGAAAAATCAAGTTAATTTTTTAATTTAATATTCAAGTATGGGATACCTGTAATTATAAGTAAATGTATACATTTTGTAAAAAAGTTAATTGATGATCGATTTATGCAGTAAATAAAATAAATAATAGTAACTTCATTTAATGATGCATTTTTTAAAAACCAGTAAATGAATTAAAATAATTTCTATATTTAGTATTTGAACGGACTTGATAGATGACGCGCAAAATTATGTTAATTAATTGATTGTTAAGCTGACAGCTAGCTTTAATTTCTTATGTAAGCCGCTTACACGTATGACATCTTTAGTGTCTCTTACATCGACAGACGTTGTGTGTTGGTAGACCGGTCGCCGTGTAAGCAGTGGTTGGAGGAGGTCGTGTGTCTTCTGATGGTGATGGTGTGGACCGCTAGATAATAATGGTGTACGTTACGTGATTTTTTTTGCTTTTAAGTTATGTTAGGTTAGCCAGTCGCCCCTCCTAGGACATAGACCGCTGACATGAGTTTCCCAGATGTAAATTTCTTTATTTAAGTGCTGACTTAGTAATATGTTTAGGTGAGTGTCTTGTTGTATGTAGCATTAGCGACTGCAGTACATGCCTCGAAGTATTTTGTGCGTGATACGGCACAGGGGTCGTACACGTTACGTCATGATAGCGGTGCATTTTGCGCCATTGTGGCGGTACATATTACGTCGTCGTGGTAGAAACGAGTACCAGCGCATTTTACGTCACAGTATTAGTGCCTATGGCGGTGTGGGATTTTATGCTCAGTCTTTTTCTTCTTCGTTCTTAATTTTAGTGTTTGAAAGGATCTCCTACAACACAATTAAGGATACGTGTCTACTGGTTATGCGCCATTCAGGCCATTGACTCCGATTTCAGCCGATTTGATTTTAGAGTTGTCTCTCCTAGAAGAGTGACTGTCCCCAGCTAACGAGCCTCATCTGCTCGAGGGTTCGAACTCGAGACTTTTCGGTTTAGCAACCATGAACCTTACCTACTCGACCACGCCGATCCCTAATTATGCTCAGTGATGATGTATCTTCCCTTCAGTAGTGGTTCAAGCTAACACACACAAAACACAACAACAACAACAGAAAAGCAACCCAGTGCAATATTATAAACCAACACCAAAAATACCGACCTGTCTTGTTTTTTCCGATCACTCTTTTCATTGATTGTACCCAATTACGCTGGCCCTTTCCCTCTACCGTAATTATTCTAATGAATGTCCCGGCTCTTATGAATATTAATTCAAGGATCTGCTGAATATCCCACAGAGACACCCATCTTTTACGGCCATCCTGTACCCACCGCCCCATGTACCACCCCTTCCAGTACTCCCCCTAGCTGTACCCCGACCATCCAGTACCCACCCCTTCATGTACCCCCACCCCTTTATGTACACCCCCCCCTTCCTGTACCCACCATTTCCTGTCCCCACCCTTCCTGTACCCCGACCCCTTTATGTACACCCCCCCCCCCCCCTTCCTGTACCCACCACATCCTGTCCCCACCCTTCCTGTCCACAACGATCATTGACCTCTGGGGGTCATCAAAGCTTGATGACCTATCCAGGGCAATGATTTATTGGATTCAGAATTTTTTTTATCCATGTCACGTGACATGGACCGGAAAGGTCAGAGAATAGCATGCTGGGTTGTCTTATCCTTACACTGATCTAGTTTTGTCTTATCCTTACACTGATCTAGTTTTGTCTTACCCTTACACTGATCTAGTTTTGTCTTACCCTTACACTGATCTAGTTTTGTCTTAAGCTTACACTGATCTAGTTTTGTCTTACGCTTACACTGATCTAGTTTTGTCTTACGCTTACACTGATCTAGTTTTGTCTTACCCTTACACTGATCTAGTTTTGTCTTACCCTTACACCGATCTAGTTTTGTCTTACGCTTACACTGATCCCGTTTTGTCTTACCCTTACACTGATCTAGTTTTGTCTTACCCTTACACTGATCTAGTTTTGTCTTACGCTTACACTGATCTAGTTTTGTCTTACACTTACACTGATCAAGTTTTGTCTTATCCTTACACTGATCTAGTTTTGTCTTACCCTTACACTGATCTAGTTTTGTCTTACCCTTACACTGATCTAGTTTTGTCTTAAGCTTACACTGATCTAGTTTTGTCTTACGCTTACACTGATCTAGTTTTGTCTTACGCTTACACTGATCTAGTTTTGTCTTACCCTTACACTGATCTAGTTTTGTCTTACCCTTACACTGATCTAGTTTTGTCTTACGCTTACACTGATCCCGTTTTGTCTTACCCTTACACTGATCTAGTTTTGTCTTACCCTTACACTGATCTAGTTTTGTCTTACGCTTACACTGATCTAGTTTTGTCTTACACTTACACTGATCAAGTTTTGTCTTATCCTTACACTTATCTAGTTTTGTCTTATCCTTACACTGATCTAGTTTTGTCTTACCCTTACACTGATCAAGTTTTGTCTTATCCTTACACTGATCTAGTTTTGTCTTAAGCTTACACTGATCTAGTTTTGTCTTAAGCTTACACTGATCCCGTTTTGTCTTACCCTTACACTGATCTAGTTTTGTCTTACCCTTACACTGATCTAGTTTTGTCTTACCCTTACACTGATCTAGTTTTGTCTAACCCTTACTCTGATCTAGTTTTGTCTTACGCTTACACTGATCTAGTTTTGTCTTACTCTTACGCTGATCTAGTTTTGTCTTACCCTTACACTGATCTAGTTTTGTCTTACCCTTACACTGATGTAGCTGTAAAAAACAACTTTCAAATGACATGGGGAGGTTTAAGTTAGGTTTAGCCCTGATCAGTCTCCGTGTATTTTTGCTGTACTTTTCTGCTAAACCGATTGCACTTCATCTAGCACTCCTCCACCCCCTTATAGAGTCCCCGCCTCTTACAGTTTTGGTTTTATACAGCTGGTGTATTCCCATCCTTCCAAAACAAGAAGCATCCGTCATTATTGGTAATACTGTAAACATAGACTCAAAGCGCCACCTATCACGTGAATACATTGAACTCTTACATTTAAATACAATTTTGAAAGCTATTTCCTTAAGTAAAAAAAAATAGCCTCTCAAGGCCGCGTGAAACCTCTTCTAGCCTTAAATTCTGCCCTCATCGATTTGACCAACACCAAATAAATCTTGTATTGATTACCGCCTTTGCTGTCTCAGAGCAATTTTTTTTGTGTGCTAAATGTAATTACTAAAACAATTTTTTTGGTGTGCTAAATGTAATTACCAAAACCATTTTTTTTGTTTACTTTCTTGTAAACGTTAAAGCTCAAAACATAGTTTCTCTATGGGGTGGGGGGGGGGGGGGGGGGGGGGGGGAAGGGGGGTATATGAAAATGATCAAATAGTTTTTAATACGTTCATCAATTCCTTTTACATCGCACTCCTTGTGTAGAAGGTTTCTGTGTGCAAGATAAGTTGTAGCAGCTAGACTGGCTGTAAAGGAATCAGGGGCGTCAAATTGCATAAAGGCTGAAAGGGTGTAGGTCAGGGGTCGGCAACCTTTTGCGACGGAAGAGCCAAAAGTTACTATCTACAAAATTTCCAAAAATTTTACAGAGCTACTAACATTTTTATGCACTTCGGTGATGGAAAGTTTTAAACCATTGCCACGGGGCTGGCCACAGCACAGTTGTGGGGCTGGGTCTAATGACAAAGTTTCTTCCAGGCATCTCTTCAGGGGTCCCCCCTCCCCCCGAGAAAGTCTACCGCCCCCCCCCCCCCCCGAGATCGAACTAGAATTCATATAGAAAATATGTACCTTTAACGGTGTCCGCCCCCCCCCCCCCCTCACGGAAATTTTAGTACACCCAACCCCCCCCCCCCCCCCTGGAGAAATAAGTCTCGAAGAAACGAAACACTGCTAATGCCCAGCGGCTGTCAGCTGTCCATATACGCTCTACTCCACCTATTCTCTTTGGTTTTTTTATTTTGTTTAAAGTTGCTTTTGTTTATACGTTTTTACAGTATAATATTTATTGAGTTTTGAAATTAAAATAATATAATTATTATGAAAATGGAGAGCCGCATATTGACATCAAAAGAGCCGATTGCGGCTCTCGAACGGTTGCCGACCCCTGCTCTAGTCGTAACGAGGGTCATGATCCATATCAGAAATTCAACTTAGTTTTTGCATTGGGTTTTTTCCAAGGGAAAAAACTCAAAACTAGATTTCAAAATAACGAACTTTAAAAAAAAAACTATGTATTAAATGCTATTACACTACTTTTAATTGTAAACAACAACATTTTATGATTTAAAAGCAAATTAAAAAAAATATTTATCTATAGCTTGTTAATTCAATATTATAGTGTATCATTCATCCAATAACATCAGTGATTTGGAACCCTAATAAAGATAACACGGTTGCTAGTTAAAACACAATCTTTTCCAGTTTATATCGCTCGTTCAACACTACGGATGTTTGATTGGAAATCACTGATCTGCAATTTTGTTTCTGCTAGTTCTATAGCAGACCCACGTATAGCGCCATATCTAAGACATGTCAAAACTGGCCTTGAACTGTTCCTCTTATACTTTACTTCAAAATAGAACGTGTCAAAATACAGCCTCGAACAACAGTTACACTTCTCTCCCCACTGCAGTGTCACATGTCTTTTCATGACGTAGTAAGTAAAACACGGCTTGCCGCCTCCGCTAAGTTTGGCCTAAAGGGGAATAATCTTCTTTCAAAAAAAAGAAAAAAAGATAACACCACCCTCAACCCATTTGGAATCCAATTAGAATCTACTATGCATCTGTTTATCGCTTTCTCTACCTTTTATTTACGTATTGTTAATATTTTCTATTAATTCCTCACGCTGTTTATATTGCAAAAAATTCTCAACAAAACTGTAAAAACACTTAAGACTATTATGGAAAAAAAAAAACCATGTTTGTATTTCTTTAATTCTGGTTATCTTCATTTGGATTGTTGATCCTTTTTTTAATAATGTTCACCATTTTGTTCATGTAATGACAATTTTTATTAATGTTTGAACTATGTTAAATACACACTATGTCAAGCACACACACATTTGTATATGTTGATGTAATGATTTCTATTTGAAAATAAAGATATTTAAAAAAAAAAAAAAAAAAAAAAAAAAAAAAAAAAAAAAAAAAAAAAAAAATCCAGATATTTTAAAGACTTAGATGAGTGTGATTTAAGTAGCAGCGATGATGACGAATCTAAAGTAGAATCTACAAAATCACCAACTAATAATAAGTCACAAAAAGCGGATAGATCTACATCGAATGTAAATAATTCCAACAGTAGTACAGACACGACATCTCTCAACAAAAGTAAAAGAAATTCTGGAAGTGGAAATGAACCTGATTTGAAATCTGAAGAAAAAAAGAATACTAGCGTGATGAAAACTATACTTC